AAATAAGAGAGAAAACACGATCAAAACAAGGTCGTACCATTCGGGACACTAAAATGTGACCTCTTGCACCCACATAACAAAGCCACAGCTGTCCACCAACCACACGACCTCCCCCCCCCCCCACCTTCAACCCTCTCCCCCCTCAGTAACAAGTTGCTCCGGTGGGTTTATACCGAAAACAACCCGTCGATTTCATATCCATTAAAATTCATGTCAGATGCTAATATCGTGTTTAATGGCCCTCTTTTTTACAGCTCCCCCTCTTGGCCAAAACGGTAGGCACTAACACGATATTTTTATATTGGTATTAAATCTAGACTGAGTCAACGGAGAACAGTATGTAAATATTCTTCTTTTTTTTGTCTTTATGGAATTTGGAAGAAGGAAAAAGTATTTGGGTTATATAAGCTCTTGCTAAATGTCATATTTTGTGTTAGTCTGTTACTCTTTCTACATAATTATCTGTCAGTATATCTATGCATCAATCCTTCTTGCCTGTCTGTCTGGTAAACTCTATGTCAAAATACTGGTCTCTCTCTCTCTCTCTCCGTCTGTCTGTCTGTCTCTCTCTCTCTCTCTCTCTCTCTCTCTCTTTTCTTTCTTTTTTTCTTTCTTTCTCTCTCTCTCATCTCTCTCTCAGTCTGTCTGTCTGTCTCTCTCTCTCTCTCTTATTCTCTGTTTTTTTATCTTCCTGTTTGTGCATCTGTGTGCCTCTCCTTTTCTTACTCTGTCTCCTTCTCTTTAACTCCCCCCCCTCTCTCTCTCTCTCTCTCTCTCTCTCTCTCTCTCTCTCTCTCTTCCCTCTCTCTCTCTCTCTCTCTCTCTCTCTCTCTCTCTCTCTCTCTCTCTCTCTCTCTCTCTCTCTCTCTCTCTCTCTCTCTCTTTCCTTATCTCTCTCAGTCCCCTAAATTCCCTCCCCACCTGCCCCTTCGCCCAGTAAATCTCCCTCGAAAATGAACAAATTTCACACACAAACCTTCGCACATTCGCTCGTGCCTAATCATCGTCGTGGAATTTATAATACCAGCCTCATTTCAGCTCCCTGATGTACGAGAATTGCATCTTGGTATTTTAATTTAACATTATGTGTGGTTAGATGTTGGATGAAGCGAGATCTTGGCGATATGATGTTTATATTGCGTGCCGCACTTGCATGGCGCATGTTCAGCATGATACACAAAACACGAGAGCATTTACAACCCGGTTTAATAAGAACGCAAGGCGAGAGAGATAACAATTACCAGCTTGACCAAGCAGATTACCAAAAAAAAAAAAAAAAAAAAAAAAAAAAAACGTTTTTTTTTTTTTTTTTTTTTTTTTTTTTTTTTTTTTGTAAATACGAAAACATGCAATGTTTTATTGTCCTTAATCTTAACTACGCGAGGTGGTCGGAGGAGGGGGGAGGAGGTCGAGGGGGGGAAGGGGGTGGGTTTGGGAGTTGGGAGGTGGAGGGAGGCTCGGAGACGGGGAGAGAGGGGGGGGATGGGGGAAGGGAGGGGGTGGGGTGGGGACAAGCTTACAAGAGACTGCCCGAGAATGTCAGCTCTGTGTGGTGTCAGCTGAAGCCAGGTGCAGTGTGGTCAGACCTGCGCGCGAAGTGATTGACTCTCCCTGTCAGGACAGCTTCGGGGACTTATGCCCTCCTGCCCGGATGTGCTAAAACCCTGATAATACTGTCTTAGCAGTATCGTGTGGTGCTTCGTTCACCCTTCACCCGCCCCCCTCCCCTTCCCCTTTCCCTCCCACCTTCCCCCTTCCTCCCACCTTCCCTTCCCCCACCTTCCCCTCCCCACCTTTCCCCCCCCCTAGAAGTGTCATACGAAACGGATCAACGCAATTCCAATACGCCACGAAGAACAACGTACACACGTCCAAAAAAAAAAAAAAAAAAAAAAATCTTGTCCCAGCACGAACGCGAACGCCGCCTCAACGTCAGCGACCGTTCGACGTCTGTCTTCGCGCGTCAGGCAGGCAGTCAGCAGCGCCGCGTGACGTCAGGCATACTGAGAGCAACAGAATCCCATCACAGATAATGCTAGAGAGGAAGGCATTCGCAGCAGCCGCGACTCAGCCCCGCGACTCGTCCCGGGAATGTAATGTTAGAAATAAACATCTAAACAGAGGGATTGATAAAGACATGAGCGAGAGGGAAAGATGGAGAGATATGCCTGTGCGACTATATATGGGTTGCGTATTGGTGGCGGTAGGGGGAGGGAAGGGGGAGGGTGTAAGGGGAGGGAAGGGGGAGGGTGTAAAAGGGGGGAGGGGGAGGGTTTAGGGGAGGGTGTAATGGAAGGGGGGAGGGGGAGGGTGTAAGGGAGGGGGAGGTGTTAGGGGGAGGGGAAGGGTGTTAGGGAGGATTTTGGGGAGAGAGAGGGTGTAAGGGGAGGGGGGTGTAGGGGTAGGGGGAGGGGGAGGGTGTAATGGGGAGGGGGGAGGGTGTTAGGGGAGGGGGAGGTGTAATGGGAGGGAGAGGGTGTTAGGAGGGGGGAGGGGAAGGGGAAGGAGGGGGTTAAGGGAGAGAGAGGGTGTTAGGGGAAGGGGGAGGGTGTGAAAGGGAGGGGGAGGAGTGCTAAGGAGAGGGGGGAGAGGGGGAGGGTGTAGAGGAGGGAGGGAGAAGGGGAAAGGGAGGGTGTAAGGGGGGGGGGAGGGTGTTTAGGGGAGGGTGTAAGAGGAGGGGGAGAGGGAGGGAGAAGGGAGGGGGATAGAGACGCACCGTAGAGTAGGATCATTAAAACGAGCTTCTTTCAAGGTGAAAAAAAAAGAAGAAAAAAAAAAGATTGTTGACTATTTATGGAGGCGCAAGTTACAGGAAATATTTCTCGTCACTCATGCGTTTGATTCTATCTCCGTTTCTTTCTAGTTTTCTCTATTTGCTTATTTATTCTTAAAATTCTGTCTTTCACTTTGTTTACCTTTTTGGCATCACCCTTCCATAGAATTTATTCCTCTGTCTGTCTGTTTGTGTCTCACTCACGTGCTCTCTCTCGCATTCTCTCTCTTTCTGTCTCTATCTGTCTGCCGTTTTGTCTCTCTCTCTGTCTGTCTGTCTTTTTGTCTGTCTGTTTTTATATCTGTGTCTCTGTCTGTCTGGTTCTGCCTCTCTCTCTCTCTCCTCTTTCTGTCAGTCTATCTTCCTTCTCTCTCTCTCTCTCTCTCTCTCTCTCTCTCTCTCTCTCTCTCTCCTCTCTCTCTCTCTCTCTCTCTCTCTCTCTCTCTCTCTCTCTCTCTCTGTCCTTCTTTCACCCCCCCCCTATCTCTCCATTCCTCTTCCTGTCTTTATCTTCTTGCCAATCTGTCTGTCATGAAACCCCTATTCGTTCACCCTCTCCCTCCCTCCTCCCTCTTCTCTCTCTCTCTCTCTCTCTCTCACTCACTCTCTGTCTGTGTGTGTGTGTTTTGTCTGCCTGTCTCATTCACCCCCCCTCTCTCTCTCTCTTCTCTCTCTCTCCCTCCCGCCTTCTCCTCCTCTCTCCCTCTCTCTTTCTCTTCCTGTCTTTATCAACTTGTCAATCTGTCTGTCTTGGAACCCCTATTCCCCACCCTCTCCCTCCCTATCTATTCGTTAATCTATCTTTTCTCTCCCTCTCTCCCAGACCCACACCTGTCTCAGGTGTGGTCTCGGCGGGGGATCATGATGAACCCTGTAAAATAACTTTCTGGAAGACGCGGGATTAGTTTATTGTGAACAGGTGGAACAAGAACAGGTGGACCGCTGGCAGAGGTTCCGTTGCCAACTGTGGTGAGCCTTCTTCCGCCATCCTTACCTTTACCTCCTGCTCTCTGCCTCCCCTGCCACCCCCTTCTCCTTCTCTTTGGCTCTTTTTTTTCGTCTTCGTTTGTGTCTCTTCCCTTTTTTTTTTTCTCTCTAACTCCGTTTTTATTTCCTTGAGTTTGGGCCTTCCCCTTCTACTACCTTGAGTTTGTCTTGTCTCCTCTTCTCTAACCTCTTCCTTCACTTCCTTTCACTTCCTTTCCGACCCCCTTCAGCTCCCTTCCCTTCAATTCCCTTGTTCCTCCTTCTCTCCCCTTCCCTTCCCTTCATTTCCTTCACTTCCCTTTTCCCTTCACTTCCCCTCTTCAACCTCCTTCCCTTCCATTCCCTTTCACTTCCCCTCCCCCCTTCCCTTCCTTTTATTTTTTCGCCTCCCTTCCCTATCCTTTAGTTTCCCCCTCCCCCCCCCCCCCCCTTTCCCTCCCCCTCCCAACCTGACCACGCCCCCTCACAGGAGACATCATACGCCACCTTATCAAAGATGACTTGTGACGAGAATATCACAGTAAGTTTAGAATTCCAAGTTTAGACGTCTGAGTTGAAGGTTTCTCTATTTTTTACACGTATTTTTTTCCCCCCTTCTTTTCGAGGAGTTAAGGGGATGCTAAGGTGCAGGGGGAGGAGGGGAGGGGGAGGGGGAGAGCTCGGATATCGCTTCGGGTGGAAGAGGGTGACAGCGCGATAGATTTAAGGCGTAAGGCCAGATGGAGGGTAAAATAAGCATGGGTGAGGGGTGGGTAGAGGGGGGTGAGGCAGTGGGTCGCGTCGGTGGGGATTGAGGTAGTGTTTGTCGGGTGAGGAAGGGAAGGGGAGGCGCGGGAGGGGGAAGGAGGGGCATAGGAAGAGGAGGGGAGCACGGAAGGAGGAAAGGGAAGCAGGGAAGCGGGAAGAGGAAACACAGAAGGGAGAGGGGGAGAGGGGGAAGGGGAGGACAGAAGAAGGGAGGGGAGGGCACGGCAAGGGAGAGGGACGGGGGAAGGGCAGGCGCAGAGGGGGCAGGGGAGGGGCAGGGACACGGAGAGGGCGTCCGCACACATCGATGGGCGTCGGGGTCACGGATCGAGCACGGGCGTCGGGCGCCGAGGAAAGCGTTCGGGGAGTGGACGGCAGGGCGGCTGGGCGGGCAGAGCGGCGGAGGCGAGTGGCGGGCTTTGGGCGGGCGGGCGGGCGGGGCCGAGCCTGCGACCTGCCTCCCTCTCGCAGCCCAGCTACCGATTAGTGACTCTCTGGGCCGCAGTTGTTCGTAGCGCGCGTCCGCTCGCCCGTGTCTTGCGCTCTCCTGCAATCTCTCCCGCGCCGAGTCTCGCCCGCCCGCCCTCGCCCCTGGGGCCTCTCTCTCCTTCCTCCTCCTCCTCTCGGATACTCGGCGCCCGTTCCTCCGGCGGGCGTGGGGCTCGGGGGCAACGGCGAGTGTGGGAAAAAGTGTAGCAGGGAAAAAAAAAGAGATCAAAACGAAACAAAACGTGAGCGAAAAGGATGTGCGCGATCGGTGGTTCGCTGGTGTTGAAAATGAGTGATAAACATGCATTTGCACGTGATGGGCGGAGCTGATTGGCTAATGTCCCGGCCGATAACTCATCCGGGCAGCCAATGACAAGACGGTGTTGGCGCCTCAGGTGTGTGGCAGAGAACAGTCACCGCTCGTCTGAGGGAACGATGGCGCCCGAACTGGAAGTCGCCTCGAGGCCTCTTGTCAGAAAAGAAACAGAGGAGCCACTGGCAGGATCGGCGTTAAGGAGAGTCAGCTAAAGGACATGCCAAGGAGGGCGAGGGAGAGGGATGAATGCGCGAGTCGTCCTCTCCGGAGTAATGAATGGTGCGACGACTGACTTAGTAAAGTCTTCGGAACTCTTCTGAATTCGCCGCCAAAGGACACGACTGCGGCTCGAGACTGCCTTTGGATAGTTAGTGTGCAGAGTGCTGTAAACACGGAAGGCGTTGATTAGCTTTTAATAGAATGGTAACTTATTTAATCTTATTTAAAGTTTAGACGAAAGAGGGGATATATTTTCACGTGGCGAGGGAAAGCTAACGAAGAGAAAGCATTAAGATACTATGCATTTTGCAATACAAGGAAAATAGATAGATTTCCGTGAATTCACTTCGGTCTCTGAACAACCCCTTTCGAATTTATTCTGAATTCATAAACTCACGAACTTTGCAGCTTTAATAGAACAGAAAACTGAAAGCAAGCAACCAAGAAAGATAGAAAGGAAAATAAACACATACTTAAAAATAAAGTCTGGTTCCCCTGAAAGAAGGGAAAGATAATCGCCACTCAGCAGCAAGAGCGAGGGCGCGAGAGACAAGTGAGAGAGCGAAAGATCACACTTTCCTCCTTCGTCACAAACCGTTGGTTCCCCTAGACTGCGAGGGAGACTATGGCACCAAAGTTCCTCCTGCTGTGCCTGCTTCTGGAGATTCTCTTCTGCGAGTTCGCACACGCCCTATGGTG